GTCAGCCTGTCAGCTTCACTTGTACAGTCAAATTTGTATAATCTATTTTCATCTTTGTCCCTCTACTCTCTCTAATTTCACCTCGAATCTTGGAAATCTTAACAAGTCCAATATTTATTTGAAGTTTTAAAATGAACTGATGCAAACACATTTTTCAGGTAAAGGCACAACTTGGAATAATAATTTAGTTTATTTTGCTAGGTATATTTTCTATAAATCTACAAAGGAAACTCAAAACCCTTTGTACAACAACTGTTAATCATGTGAGGGACAAAAAGTCGCCTGTATTCCCGTGTAGCATCATTGCAGAATGATGTTGTGACAAAACGTTGCAGGATCTCTATTGTTTTTCAAGTTCACCTGTTTGTACCTCCAAACATTTCTTTGAAGCACGTTTTATGCCTTCCGATTGCGATCAATCGTGTATAGTGCCGAAACAACCCTTGTGAGCTCACGCTCGGCATGTAACTAGATGCGCCGTCCGTTCCATTAGTTAACCCTATCCGTACCCCCTGGGGTCATTTTGTACCCCCAGGATTGTATTCTTCACATTTTGTAATACTTCTAATACGAAGATCTCTTTGAAACTTTCAATATTTTTCAAAATGTCAATTTGACAGACTGCTGTGCAAAGCGTACGGATCGGATTAACGAGTAAATTTCCTCTTTGGAAAGTGGGGGCACAGAGTTCCCCACGTCGTATCGTATGGATACGATAATAAAACACGACGTACGGATAGGGTTAACAAAGCTGTAAGCATTTGGCGGGACCAGAACATGACACCCCTGTCCTATGTAAGGCCCGATTTCATCAATCATCAGGATTGAGTCTGCAGTAGAGATGACATCTTGTGGGGGAGGGGAGAATGCATTATGTAACTAAGGGAGAACAATGACGAATGGTTATCAGATTGCTTGCAATTTCATCATAACATAGTAGGTTCTGCCCAGTTCCGCTGTGTCTGTACACACACACACAGAAAGAGAGAGAGAGAGATATATATATATATATATATATATATATATATATATATATAGAGAGAGAGAGAGGGAGAGAGAGAGAGAGAGAGGGAGAGAGAGAGAGAGAGAAGGGGGAAGGGAAAAAGGGAGAAGAGAGAGAGAGAGTAAAGAGAGGGAGATGAGGAGAGGCAGAGCGAGAGAACTAGAGGCAGAGAGAGACAGAGTGACTGGCAGACAAACAGACAGAAAGAGAGAGAGAGAGAGAGAGAGAGAGAGAGAGAGAGAGAGAGAGAGAGATTGAGAGAGAGAGAGAGAGAGAGAGAGAGAGAGAGAGAGGGGGGGGGGGTGGAAGAGATAGAGAAATAAAATAGTAAAATAGTTGCATGTTTTAAAATGTTCAAAGTCAGTCAGTAGCCTACTAAATAGACTGACAATAAACATTTGAAAACATGCAATTGTTCTGTTTTTCTACATATATATATATATAAATGCTATTAAATATTGTACAATACAGAATGGTATATTATTGATATATTCATATTTTAGGTTATGTACTAAAACTTACTCACACAAGCCCTCGTAATACATTTTCTTCAAACACAGCAATGTTTCTTATCGATCTCTTCATGAATCAGAAGAACAAACGGCAATTTATGTTTTAAAAAACAAAACCAACTCATTGACACATTCTAAAATAGTTTCATTAGCAACACACGTAATCAAGGTCGAGAGAAAGCACGTTAACAACGTTTATTAAATCGGAAATTCTGCCTGGGATCAGTTTGACTCCAATTCAAGCTACAGTTGACTCACGTCGACATGTGAGTATCAGTAAAAGAAAAATCTGGGACCCTAGAAAACTGGGGATGATCTTATGTCATGTATCGATAACTCCTCAGGAAATTACAAAGTACCCCTCGGCTTCTTCATTATGGCTATTGTG